CTTGTATGAGCTTTGGGGTTGTCCTGCTCTTCTTTTTCTAGAAGCTTGAGGTTCAGCATCAGGTTGTTTAATTGGGCTTGTTCTGTTTTCCTAATATGCGTATTCACTGCTATGAATTTCCCTCATAAGACTGCTTTCATTGTGTCCCATCAATTCTGATATGTTGTATTTTCATTGTCATTTGATTGTAGGAACTGTCTGATTTCTTTAATTTCTTCTGTGACCCATTGATTATTCAGAAGTATATTGTTCAATTTCCATGTGTTTATGAAATTCTTGGGGTTTCTTTTGCACTGATCTCCAATTTCATCACACTATGGTCTGATCATATACAGGGGATAACTTCAATTCCTTTGCACTTACTCAAACAAGTTATATGAGCAAGTATGTGGTCTATTTTGGAGAACGACCTGTGTGCAGCTGAAAAGAATGTGTATTCTGATTTTGTGAGGTGGAACACTCTGTAAACATCTGTTAAGTTCATTTGTTCAAGAGTTTGATTGTGTTCTAGCATTTCATTACTTATTTTTAGTCTAGTTGATCTATCTGTGACAGTGGGGTATTGAGGTCCTCCACTACTATTGTATTAGTGCATATATGACTTTTCATGTCCATTAGTATTTGTTTTATACAGTTGGGCACACTAGTGTTTGGTGCATATATATTTATGATTGTCATCTCTTCCTGTTGGACTGTTACCTTTACAAGGATGTAGTGTCCTTCTTTGTCTTTCTTAATCAGTGTTGGTTTGAAATCCACTTGATCTGCAAAGAGGATAGATAGCTACTCCTGCTTTTTTTCTGGTTCCTGTCACATGGAGTATTGTTTTCCACCTTTTAACTTTCAATCTATGAGTTTCTTTTTGAGTTAAGTGTTTTTCTTGTATGCAGCATATTGTTGGATTTTGCTTCTTTTTTTTTGTTTTCTTTTTTTTTTTTGTACCAGGGATCAAACTCAGGTCCTTGCACTTGCACAGTAGGTGGCGAAACCACTGAGCTAAATCCCCAGCCAGATTTTGCTTCTTGACCCATTTTGCCAGTCTATTTCTTTTGATTGGTGAAATGAGACCATTAACATTGATGGTTATAACTGATACATATTTACTTATACTTGTCATGACTTTTTCTTTTTGTTGGATTCTCCTCCTTTACATTTAATTTCTTGTTGTGCCTGATGGATTCATTCTGGTGTGCTTCTTGGGGTTGTGATCCTCATTGTCTGTTCCTAGGATATTATCTAAAGTTTTTTAGAGTGCTGGTTTGGTATTCATGAAGTTCCTAAGGTGCTCTTTGTCATGAAAGTATCTTATTTCTCCATCAATTTTGAAAGACAATTTTGCAGGTTATATCAATCTGGGTTGGAGGCTGTTTTCCTTTAGGGCTTGAAATACGTGACTCCAAGCTCTTCTTGCCTTGATGGTTTGTGTTGAGAAGTCTGCTGTGATTCTGATGGGCTTTCCTTTGTATGTGATTTGT